TTTGATTTCTGAACTGAATGATCCGAGACTTTGCCATCCAGTGGGTCGCGAAGACATATGAATTCGACCGATTATACCATAATAGAAAGGGTGCAGTAAAGATCCAGCTTCTACTACAGACCAGACGTGACAGGGGTTGGAAGTTATCAAATGATACCATTTTAAACTATTCCCAAATGCGAAAGTGTCAGTCAAAAAATTGAGTGCTAATATCATTACTTATCCTTGAGAGTCAGAAAAACTCAAGCAAAATACTTCCACAACATCAATTTGTATGGAAAATGAAAATTACTGTTTCCGGAAAAGAATGCTAGACGTAATCGAGTCACCATTTCCGCGTAGATTTTCACAAATCATGTTCATCAGTAACTAGAAGTTGATCTTTTCTTGTAACTTATTTAAAACAGGACTTGATTACAGCCCAGATCGCAGGTATGATACAAAATGCACTCCACTTCTAGAAAGTGACACAAGAGGCTGTTTGCGTTTGATTATTGAGGTAAACTTCTTGTATCAGTGAATAGCTTTCACAAAAAAGCCGGCTCCTTTCACTAGACCCATGACAAGCGAAGTCAGCTGCTTAGCATAACTGCAAAACGAAGCGAGTACTTTGCAAACATGAGTATACACATGCCCCCTCCTGATGCTGAGAAGGCACAAGTAGTATCGGTGAGTGCTTTGAAGGCAGCGTCCAGGCAGATTTTACTTTCATTTCTTATGTTATCCAGCCCTTTCCAGGCGCTGATTTTGAATATGCACTCAAAAAGCGTGCATTCCTCAAAAAACCACTTTTTGGGGCTTTTTTGGGAAAACCCGGACGAGTGTCTCTGATGCTGACCTGTCGGAAGCAAGCATTAGGAGGTAAACGCTAAGTCGACCGTGTTTGCCATGTGAAAACACGTCAAGGGCTGAGAAGGTTTCGTTTAGTGGGGTGGGCCGTGCGAGAAAGTGGGCGTGGTCCTCGAGGCCCGACGTCTGCCTGGACGCTGCCTTTGAATTCAATCAAAGGCACCAAGGAAAAGAATTTCAAATTCCAAAGATCGGTGAGAACCAAATAGAACTAAACTGTGGTTGTGGCAAAAAAACAGAGCAGACTTCTCCGGTACACCTAAGTGATCCTAAGGGATCGAAAACAGTAGATAAACAGTATATGACGCTCAAGCACTCACTTTTTCAATCCCATTAGTGACTTCCTCGCACAACTCTTCGTCGAGGCATCTAAACAAATATCGGTTGTTCACAAAAAGCTGCCCACGAAACTTACTTTTCGGAACGCTTAATTTTACGTGGACGTCCTCTTTTCGGCTTTTCGCCATCAGCAGGGGGTTCCTTCTTCCCGTTTGTTGTTTTACGCGTCGATGAAGCTGGCGCTGCAGGAGGAGAAGGTGGAACTGCTGGCGCCATAGCCGCTGGTGCCATAGCCGCAGGTGGCACTTGCTGCAAGAAATCATCGACTGCATATTGTAGTC